TGAGTGAGGATCTCTGACACGTTTGCCGAGAATAGTATACTTTGCGCAAATAAGACACAGACCAAATGGTCGCATTCTTAAAGCCCTAAGCCCTGAAAAGTGTGCATCTCAGATAGTAAGGGCCCCTGGCCTTGTTAAAAGATGCCCATGACTTTGGCAACAGCTCATCCCGCCCCTAAACCCTGATTCCTAAACCCTAAATCCGAAAACCTAAAATCCTGAACCTTAAGCCTAAATCCTAAAACCTAAACTCTAAACCCTTAACCCTGAACCTTAAAACGTGGCCAGCGAGCCCTGTCTTGAGGCACTCTGAGTGTGAGGCTTGCCGCATCGGGCAAGCTACCTCTTCATCCATGCGTCAGGATTTAGGGTTTAGGATTTAGGGTTCGGGATTTAGGATTTAGGGTTTAGGATCTAGGGTTTGGGTTTAGGGTTTAGGGTTCAGGATTTAGGGTTTGCGGTTTAGGGGCCTATACTTCGAGGGTCGTATGGGGGACCTAGTAAGTAGGTCAGTCACCTATAATCCATGTACAGCAACCCTGGTTATCCTAATTGAGAACCTACCTACTAAGTCCCCCTGACCCTAAACCCTAAACCATAAATTATACAAAGCAGTTTCCACTTTCTTTTCCAGTATTACTAAGATAAGACCCTCCAGTATGGTTCACCGCGGAAGTTTGGAAGGGTAAGTGCATTCCCACCCAGCGCTGTACTACCAAGGTCTAGGGTTCAGGGTTTAGCGTTTGGGGTTCAGTGTTCAGGTTTAGGAAACCTTACTACTTGCAGTTTCACTCATTCTGGTAAGTCAAAGTAATTTTCTTAAAGAACAAGCCAGCTTGATGTTGGGATCCTCAGAGCAATTTGTTGCCGGCCAAATTTAAGAGGTCCCTTTCATCCTGGTCTACATAGCCAGTCACCTCAGCTGCGGCCCCACGGAAGCAAAAACACATGTTTTTTACACCTTCTGTGGGGCGCGACCGACTATGGGAGCAAAGCTTTCGGTATACAAAAATTAACATTGGCGTAGTGACCTTGCTTGGATTTGGAACACCTGCCTCGATGAGGACATCTCAAGGGCACGGTCTTGTCTCGGCTTAGAAACTTATCGCGATGATAAGGCTTCTATACATGTTCACTTCTGTCCGAATCTGGCAGCATAGGTCCTCAGCCCTTGGGCAAAATATGATCGCAGTCCCCATCAGAATCCAGCACTAACTACTTGCTCCAGAGAAATGGCACGTGGTAACGACCAGGAAGGTCCCAAGTAATTGACATCGAGGTAAGTAGCGCACGTGATGTGTAGTACGCAGAAGAGGAACCCTGTTGCAGCGCTGGGAAGGGGTACAATGTGCCCTCCAGTCTGCGGATATTTCCTGCTTTGTGAGATATATGAGCACCATTTTTTGACCCTAAGCACATCCATAACGATCAGAACAAGAAGAGGAAACAACAACATTAGTAGAAAGGAGCGACAACATTGGCGCTGGTCGCAGTACCCACTAAAAACTGACGACAATGCCTGCGACATTATTGTTCGCTTTGAAGCACATCAAGACTGAAACCGTCTGACGCGCTAAGCGTGAAAAAATACAGTCTTCCCTGAAAACGTCGACCCGCGCTTTGCAAACCCACAAATTTAAAGCCCTTGCCAACCCTTCTCTCTCAAGGCCCCTATGAGGATTCCTAAGAGCATCCCTGGGAGAGAACAAGCAGTTTATATCTAGCCCTAAACCTTATAGATCCATGTCCATGTATAACCATATACAACTCCTACAGACCCCATATAGCATCCAGAAACCCTAAACCCTAAACCCAGAAATCCCTTTAAGGATGCCAACGAAAGCAGCTCAGCCTTGATAATGTCCTCGTCCTCCATTTTCTGAAGCCTCCATAAGCTTAGGGTTTAGGGTTTAGGGTTTAGGGCTTTAAGGGTTTTAAGGGTTTACGGGTCCGGGCCCTTTGATTTTTCGTAGCGCGGTGTTAAGAATGTAGGGCTTTGATTTTTCATAGCGCAATGTTCGCAATGTAAGGGCCTAAACAGTTAGAATAAGGTCCTGAGGCATATTGTAACAGGATGGATACTGTTGGCAACATGAAGCATCACATGAGTAGTGTTTTTTTGGTGGTTGAACGTAGTAAGATAATATTTCTTATATAAGATACTATTATGAGCCATAATCTAAACTCCTAGTATCACCCTTAATAACCCCTATAGTAGTCCCCTACATGATCCCCAATATAACCCCCCTTAAGGAGTTTAGATTATGGCTCACATTACTTTCTGTGGGTAACTCACGGCGCTCCAAGCCTAGCAGGCAAAATCTAGCCCAAGAGGTCTGTTGAAAACACGTTGACATGAAGAGATCTTGAAAATTCAAGGGGATACATTATTAGGACCCCCACCCTGTAATGGCGACTATAAAGGGCAATAGGGATTATATTAGGGTCCTATTATATCCCTATTATACCACTATTACAGGGAGGGGGGGTCCTCCTAAGGGATACATTGGGAAACTGATGACTCCATAAGCCCTGAAGATCTCGGCAGATGTAGCATAGTTCTTGATAACTCCTCCTCCCAAATTTTCGCCACCCAACACCCTGGTAGCCAATTTCCGATAGAATATTGAGTATACCATTGGGGATATACTACTATATTACAATAAGGATAACCTTCAGCTTTTGAATCCCTGGCTCGTCTTTAGGGACTCTTGTGGTCATCACAACCCGTTGAGTCGGGATGTGCTGAACACAGCTACAGGGTTAGGGTTATGACGGCGATGGCTCAAGGGAATAGTTACATTTCTCTCTTGCTGCTTTGAAGGAGAAGTTATCAGGGTCATTCACCTTGATGCACACGCAAAACTGCTTGCCATTGTTTACAGCAAATGCCACCATCGTTGAACATTGCCCTCTGCACTACTCTTGTCGATTATGACTGCTAGTCTCGAGCATGGCTTTGAAACGCAGATCTATGATGATGCTTGCTACTGGCTTCGTCGTCGTGACTCTTCCAGGAACCATTCAACTTGTCAACTGCGGTTCATTACTATTACTATTACTATTATTACTACTACTACTACTACTATTACTATTATTATTACTGTTATTATTAAGTCACTATTATCAATATTATTACTACTATGTTCTACTCACCTTTCGTCTCTGCAACCTCCACCACCACTGGTGCCAGGCTCATCGTGTCATGCGCAAAAATCACCAGCCTCGTGCATCCACAGCGCAAAAGCGCCGAGGACTATCGGAAACAGCTGGCACTACACAGTGCCGCGGAACCTCTAAAAACCCTAAAGCTATGCTAATGCCTATACTTCATACTTTGGTGGGGCATTGTGGTTCTATGCCTGCTGGGATAACTAGGCTGAACTATGCTGAACTCAAGCCATGGTGTCTACATTCTACTTGACTTGTGGCGCCCTTATCGCCAGAAAATGACATCTGAAAAGCAACCCCGAAGGGCTTTGAGCCAAAGGAAGATGAGCTCAATGCTGTGTAGGGCAACTTGGGTTGAGGGTTTTGGGTTTTG